ATAGCAATAACAAGGAGCTCCAAGCAAGCCCACTCAGGAGACGACATTATATTGCAAAACATGGACCAGATCAATGCTGATATCAGACACAAGAATTACTCATTAACAGGTGGGTTACCTTCCAGCTGTGACTTACAACAGCAGCCTTTCAGCAACAGACTGGGAAAATTAAAAAGAAAGAAAATAGACATTACACTGACAAAACAAACCAAAAATCTACCCTTCTGCGGCCATGTGGCCAAAGCCATCTCTGTCTTGTAAGTGCTTGGCTGAGATAGCTGCGCTGCAGAAGCATTTCTAATAGGGATGCAGAGGGTATTGCTAAAACTGAGATTTCACCAGTTGAGTCTGTTTCAGCCCCACCTTGCCCCACGGCCAAAATCCACAGGTTTGGCTGGTACAACTGTGTCTATGCTTGAGGCTTTTGCTAGCCATGTTCTGTCAATCAGGGACCACACCTCTTCACACCCAAAATCCCCAGAGCCACAACAACAGAAAGAATACCAAGAAGTCCTTGCTTAAGCTGTGCTCTACCCTTTGAAGTTTCACCAGCACAGCCATGGAAGGGGTGTGATTTTTTTTTTTTTTTTTTTTTTTTTTTTTTTTTGGTAACCCAACAAAACTATGGCAGTAAGGCCCGACAGAGTGCAGTGCAGCTACCCCAGCACAATTTTGCCATGATGGTTTATAAATTTGGAGGGGATTTCCACTGGCTACGCTATCACACTGTGTCTGTCATCACAGTAATAGTACAATTATGCATATGTAGGTTTACGGACAAAACTTTCCTACTATCAACAGGGCTTGGAACAGCAGGGACCAGGCAAGTTTTGGAATTTTCTTCGTAAAATCCAACAAAGAGCAAACAAGCAGAAAAAAATTCTTTACCTCTATACATTGTTTTCTGTCTGAAGATTTGAAGTAAGTAAAACTTCAAAATAGGCTTGTGGAACAGATCTGTCTTATTTTCACTCATTTCAAACATGGAAACAGAATGTACAGACAGTCTGATCTGCCTGGGGACACCTCACAAAGCTGGAACAGAGATTTCCACTTCCTACCCTCATTCTTGACTTTGACCATTAGGCTTCAAAATAGTAATGCCTATATAATGGCTCGTAGACATCTGCTTACCATCCAGGCTACTGAAACTGCGCAAACGAAGCAAAAAAAAAGCCATGAGCTACTATTTAATCCAGAGTTCCCTAAAGCTCTGTGGAAAGAGAGGAGCAGGGGAGTGAGTACTGGACAGCAAAGGGAGAAGGACGATGCTTCTTTAAAGCCATAGAAGCACCCTCCTGAACCACTTGAAGGACCAGAAACTTGTATTTCTGTAGTGACCAAGGCAGGCTGTAGTAATGCATGTTCCCATTACTAAAAACAAGCAAGAAGAAAAGTAAGAATGCATTCTGTGTCCATTTGTCTGCTCCCAGTTGCTGTAGTCCATAGGCATTGAACTACAAGCAAGACCTGCAGAGTGTCTTTCTGGTGAGGCACAACTCTAAGCTTTTAGCTCAAACCAATTCCTCAACATAAGAAAAAGGAAGAAGCACCAACACCAGGAGCCACTTCAACTGATAGAATGATGCTGGCACAAAGCAAAAGGAAAAGACATCAAAGCCAGGAGTTGCAACAGCTGCCGGAGAAGCACCACCATAGGACGGGGATTACCTCTGAGTAAGGTCTGAATAACGACCAAATAGTGATTTCAGGGTTCAGACAGATATGAATCATTAGAAAACCCTAACTACTAAACTGCCTGCATTGGTTCAGAGAAGTGCCAGAACAGGCCTTGTGGCCATAGAGAAAAGGCAGAATTTGAGGTGTGTTTTTTTGTAAATTATGTTAAACGGTCAATGACTCTTTCAGCTTTTTATAACCAGCAGAAGGTCTGCCTGTCTTCATCAGGCTTTTTGTAGAATCAGTGAAAATGAAGTATGCCACATATTGTTTTGAGAAATGTTGTATCTCATTGGCAAGAAACTACTCAGAAAACTGAAGTTTTCATTGATACTGAATTCTTACAAACTTCACAGGGGTTTGGGCACTCGGGAGTTCATAAAGGTGAAGAATAAGGCCTTGGCTGTAGATATTTGTGTGTCATCAGCTGACACTGTTGGCTACAAGCAGCACAAAAGGTGTCTATGGAGGAACAGTTGGGGAACAAACCTGTGGTAAGAGAGCTGAGACGCATGAATCCCCTACACTGGTCTGGTTTTATGCCATTCCAGATAAAGCCACCCAGCAGCACGGTCCTGGGTGAGCTAGGAATGACCTCAAAGGCAGAGAGGTACCAAGCAGGGAGGCCATCCCTTACCCTAACATATGTTCATGTCTGCCTCCGCAGCCTCTCCATCAAGAATCCAGATGCACAGAGCTTCCAATGTGAAGATAATAAAAATTGTGAAAAAATAAGCAGCACAGAGCTTAGGGAGTTTCAGCAGGCGTAGTTTTTTCCTTACTCATGTACACCGGTGCCACAATCACTGGTGCTTGGATGGTTTACGGGAATCACGCGTGACCTCAGGAGTGGACTAACCAGTGAGGAAGGCAGAACCAGAGCATGCAGTCAGCCACCTCCTCAGCACGCAGAGCATCCAGTGGTCCATGCCTGCAGCAGTCCTCGGCCTCTGCCAAAGACCAAAGAACCACTCTCATGTTCAGATATCACCAGATTACACATGGTTAAGACTTCTGGGGATGCCTATCATGAGAGAAGTGTCTTCTGCTGTCAGGAGGAGATGCCGTTTGGTTTGTATCGCTGCAGCTGAGAACCCACTAGCCTGGGAGACCTAGGGCACCATGCTGAAACCATCACCCCATGGGTCAGCCTGATGGGTCCACAGAGCTACTCCCCTTAACCTTCTCAAATCAATTCATCTGGGAGAAATCAATTCATAAAGGGAGAAAACAGTCAGGTGTGTATGGAGCAAATATCATAACAACAACAAGAAAAAAAGTGAAGATATGGAAACAATCCATATGGCATTCAAGATAAAGTCCTCAGCATAAGATTTTAGGCTTCATTTAGCACCCATTTCAAATGAGGGTCTGTAAAACACTAAATAAATAAATAAATAAAAATATAGAGAGATGAAAATATATAAATAATAGAAATAAAGATATAAATATGTGTGTGTGTGTGTATGTATATGTGTGT